ATTGCTTCTGCTGAAGTGTACAAATGCACATTTGTCAAATCCATTGCTGGATTTACAGAATCACGTTCTAACTCTTCTGAATTTATCAAGTTCATTTTGAATTGTCATTGTCTTCTACTCGGTCAGCAGTTAGCTCAAGTCTGGTGCTCCCTACAATTTAATCAGCACATGCCATCTAAATTGTTAATGAAAATACCAAGTAACATCAAACCTGAGCACAACTAGAGAGAATCCCACTCAATACATCCTTGCAGTCTGACTGCAAATTATTATTACTCTGAGTAGTGTTTTCCATACAAGTTTTTATAACCTCACTGTTAAATTCGTGTCAGACCACATTCCCCTACTTTCTTACATCAAGTCATGAGAATCACTTAAAGCAAAGCTGTGCTCACTGCTTCTCCTCTGTTCAAGAAACTTGTTACCTTGCTGTAGAAGGAGCAACACTAGTTCGGCACAATTTGATCTTTCTTTTAGAAGCTCACTGATAGCTTCCCTTTTCCATTAATTTTCCAGTTTAAACTATTGACCCCGAATTCCGAACAGACGGGTGGAAGCACAGAGAGAAGCTGAGCCTTCAGAGCTTACAGCAACCCCCTTTGTCTCCAACGCCTGAACGTAGTTTACCATCTGGGGTACCTGATCGAGGCATGAGGCTCACTACTGCTGCTGTGCCTGGGCTGCAATCTCCTACGTAGGGCAGAGTAAGCAGAGCTTGTCTAAGCGAGGACATGAGCGCCCTTGAAGTAGTCACTACCCTGCCCTAACATCACACAACACAAGGACAATGAAAGTCTTCTGCTCCTGTGTCGATGGGTCCCTCCTCCATTGTTCCAAGATTTCAGTGACCAGCTATCCCAGCGAGAGAAGTCACATCCATGAAACACAGACGGCTCCTCAACTATATCCTGCACTTCTTTCAAAGATCCCAGCTGACTGAATTAAATCACAAAAAGCATACAGCAAATAAACTAAACATGCATCCAGTAACTATTTCCACGGCATCAAAAGCCATGTGGTGAAACTACTCCCAACATCAGCTTTGATAATATGTCTTAAATTAACCTCTTCGAGAAACCTTTGCAAAAATGGATGTGGAATAACAGTATCGATAATTACACTTCATCAACAAGACCTGATCATTTGGCAACTCCTACATGAACTTGATGCACGACAATTTCTTCCTGACACGTAAGTCTGTGCTGACTGGGGATATGATCTTTCTCAGGTCACAGTAAACACCTGCTACGCTCATTATATCGACTCCTTGTTTAAGGTGATGACACAAGAGCACGTAGCTTTTTTTTTGAAAATAAAATCTTTATCAATAGGCCAAGAGTACCCTTCCTTCTACGGAGTTTTGCCATCATGCTTCTGGATACTTTGAAAACACTGAAAGGTATTGCTGTCTCACTCTAGGCAGTTAGGTATTTGGAAAAATCCAGGGTTTTCCAAGTGATCTTTTGTTTTGTTACTACATTTATACAGTTCTGAAGTGCACCCTGGATGTAGCTGCTCTTCTGCAGTGTAACTATATTACACTCTGCATTCCCTTGGTATCTTAGGCTCAATTAATTCACTCTTGAAAAAGAAAGAATAAAAAACAAAAGTTCTTGAAAAGTGAGAATGGGAACCTTCAGTGAGTCAGTCACTTCACATTATTAACTAGTGGTAAATGTAAAGCAGCTTACCTGTTGCAGAAAGTGAAGAATACACAAATATGTAGAGTTACCATCGAGTAAGTTACATACTGTAAGTATGCACTCTCTCTTCTCTCCTGGTAAAATTTTCATGGGCCTGTAACCTCAGTAGGAAATACTGCATTTATGCATTAAAACCACAGTTTTAAAAGTTCTACTTTCAGAAAAAGGACAGATATGCAAATATGAAATTCATAACTCATTTATTGAATATATATATATGCAAGGATACCAATAAAAAGAAACTAATACTGCAAACTACAACTTTGGAAGTAAAGCCAATATAACAGGAACAAAATATACATAACATTGTAGATAGGAATGCATTTACCCTCTTTCATACATTCCTTGTCTTTACACCTAATGTAAATGTATGCTAGAGCAAAAGCTGCAAATGTTAGCCTAACCTGAGTGCTTTTTGACAAGCAACAGTTCTCCAGGATTCTTTAAGGGTTGAGATGTCACTGCTGACTAATGAATGTGCATACATATGCATACATAGAAACTGCTTCAACAAGTATGTAATTCAACAGCTGCGTTCCGTTTTTTAACCTCCACCACTAATACAGTAAATCTGTTTCTGGTGACATGGAAGAAGAGTTACTATTTGCTATAATGTACTTTCAGTTCCCTTAAGATTAATTTCATCTAATGAGGATTAATTTTCTTGTCAATCCGATTCAGCATATTAATATTTTTGACATGCACTGATTATCACCTGACAGATAAGTCTGATATTTCAAATAGATTATCACTTCTTCGTCTTTCACTCTAGTTTAGCATGAAGATATTTGTCATATAGGCAGCAGTAAGAAGCAAGCTCTCTTCCCATATACTACATTTTAGGGCCACATTCGGTATAATCATACCATCCTAGATCAGCACAGATCTTTGTACCTGAAGATCAGACTTCATGGAGTGTAGGTGATGGACTTACTGCTGCCCTCCAGGAGTTAAGCCGGTGTAACTCCTACTAGAGCCTTATCACAGAACCTCCTGTGGATCAACACCTGCCGAATGAGTAGATTTTTTGATCAGCTAATCTATTCCATCCTAGCTAGCTGCACTGATGCTGATATTGACCCGGCCTTTTACCCTTCCTTGAAATGGAGTGATAGCACAGCTTACTGCTATAGTGTTTGTTCACGCCTCGAGACTCTGGCATTACACCAGCTGTATCCTCAAGTTATTTGAACAATATCCTTCTGATGCCTGTCCTTCCTTGGTACAGTCCTTTCTTGGTATAGCACAATCGCAGATCTGTTAATATAGAGATACAGTGAGTTGGGGAGATCTGTTAATACAGAGATACAGTGAGCTGGGGAGAAGCCTCCCTTCTCAGAGGGTTCCAGGCATCTTAAACAGCACACACTACTCTTGTGAGCAAAAGAAATGCCCAAAGGCAAAAAACAAAAAAAAAATTAAATAAAGTGAAACCAGTTTCATAAGACAAGTTTTGTTAAATGCATGAGTTCTCTGATTGTGAGATGAGGGCAGAAGGTGCCTATTAAAAAAAAAAAATCTCAGTAACAGACAGACTGCATTAATTTAACTAGCTAATTTAAACATACCTATTTCACCTATAGAGCACTTTCATTACTTCTAACATTTCTGGGAAGGCAGTAGATGCTCCAGAATAATCCTCAATATATGCTTGCAAAGATTACACTGCTTTACAAAAAAAAAAACCAAAAAACCAAAACCCAAAACAAAACCAAAAAACCCCAAACAAATCAAATCAGACAGTCTGAAATTCCAAGCTAAAGTACACATAAAAGGACAGTAATGGCAGTATTTTGTCTTTAAGAAATGATGTAAATGTTGTATACTATCATACATTGCCATGCTTGTTAAAACTACAATTAAGGACATAAAAGATGTACAGTAAATACACTGCTGAGGTACATTTCTTCTAAATATTAACACCACAACAGAATTACTCCCCAGCAGGTGATGCTACTTGGGAACATATAAATACAATTTTTACATTGTAAGGCACTTTTACCCAGCATACATGAGTTGAAGTCAGTTATGACAAATTTGAGGCTCGTAGGAAAAGATTTTTGCTTTTGACTTTGTTTCCATGAATTCTGAATTAATGACAGTTTAGTCAGGCCACCTCAGCACAAAGAGGTAACAGGTAAACCAGCCACTTACTTTTCTGCTACCCAAAAGTGAAGTGCTGTTCTGGTTCTTCGAGGCATGGAATGGGGTAATTTATTTTATAACAGATGAATTACTTGACTGAATGTTATACTAAGCAACTGACACACTGTGAATTAGAGCTCAGTCTCAAATGCAGTCAGTATGCTGGCAGATCTACCCCATGCAACCTTGGTTAAAATACAGTAGCTGCAAACAAAGTGCCTTTTTTTCCATGGGAGGGCCATGTCTGAGGCACAAATCTAGAAGTAATTTAAACACTGAAGGGTGTTATTTTGCCTTCTAAAACTGTTCTGAGTGGCTGAAAAATGTTCATATTCTAGGAGAAACGAAACACCTTGATAGACAATTTCAATAATCGATCTGTCATTGCAATTCAAGTCACGCTTTTAATTTCAAAAGTTACAAATACAAAATAAAAATGATCAATGGCATCATGTTTAGAGCAGTAACTGAATATTTTCTGTACACAGCAATATTTCTTTCCAAAACAGCATTATTCTCCAGGAAAGCAAACAAAATTGATTGAATTCTAACAGGTAAAATGTTAGAAACTCCAATATACAGTAATTGAGTCCCTCAAGACATTAAGGGAATGCATAAGAAGACAAATGACACACGTTAAATCTTTTAAAAATACAAGTAAAAAATGCTACAGAAACTCATGTTACAAATGAACTGTTTTTGCAACACCAATCACAGAACTGTAGCCGTTTATAGTCAAATCAGTGTATTTTGCTTGTTTCCTTCCTTCAAATCCAGAAGTTTTGTTGGGAGTTCAGAGTGAAACAAGTCAAAACCCTAAACAAACAACGGACAAATATGTGGACTAGATTCAGCTTTTTGGTTTTATTTAAGTAACTCTGAGAATGTGCTTTAACAGACCAATTGAAGAAGCTAGTAGCCATTAGAAATGACAAGGTGTTTTGAAAGCAGTCAGAGGACTACTGATCTGTTAGGTTTGGTATAGCCTAGATCTGATTATTCCCTAAAGAAACATCAAACTCTAGCAAGCAGAATTCCATGACGTGATTGTTGGCTTGACAGAAAGAGAAAAGAAATAATCACTGAAACAATAAGGACGATAAGCAAAGTTTCTCATATAGTGGTCATAAGATTAAAAAATAAATACCAATCTAGCAAAAAAGGTTGTTTCCTCATTCTTCTTACAGAATATGGGACCTTTATGCATATTCTGGACAAAACATGAAGTGTTCCACACAACACAGAACACTTGAGGTATGGACGTCAGATATGGTGGCTAAATTCCATAGCGAGTTAGGAGTTGTTAACTCTCTGAAATAAAAGAGACTGGGCTGCAGAGTCCAAACATTTCTATAGTAAGGTTTTAATCACACTTAGTGAAGTGTTCTTTGTAAATCAGGGACACAGAAAGAGGCAGGTCATTGGGGAAAGAATGAACTACAGCCCTTTGGCATGAGTTCTAAAGCTCACAGCTCAGAACCAACAGCTGCTCAAGTAAATCTCCCGCAAACAATGCTGGGCGGAATGAGCACTCACAACAGGAACAACCTGAAATGTTCAAGCGTGCTTCGGAGTACACTGAGTCCTTTTCTACTGTGTGCTTTGCAAGCAAAAACAGAGAGCGGCTTTCCCATGTATAGCCTCCGTAACTTGTGTATGAAGAAAATGCAAAATTCACAAAGTACCAGCTTGTTGCCACCATGAACTTGTCCACGTTGTTAATTAAACTAGCTAAGACCTTCCCTCATTGCATGAATCCACTAAACAACTTACACATTCCAAATCTTAAGGTTTTTATTCAGTCCAGAAATATAGATCTTACTTCATTTCAATGTCTGCCTTAACTTTTGACACTGTACATATTACATATCATTTATATAGTGTTTCATTTTTTCCAGACACTGCAGACTACAAACTACATAATATTGACATGTAAAACTCTGCCACTTACTGAAGGCTCACACACATGAACGTTTCAGGCAGTTCAATGAAATTTCTAACAGAGTTGGGTAGTAAAAAGTTACTAACCCTTTTCTGATTTTAGAAAACAATTTAAAAGAATTAGTAGTTATGATGTCTTAGCCATTCCCAGTTCTATAACTCTGTCCCTTGAACCTGTTTAAAAAATGATGAAAACAACAGTAAATTTAAAATTGTACAGAAAAGCATTTAGCAGCTCTGACATTACATCTATATTTAGCGATAGAAACGATGGCCTCCCTCTTCTGATACTATTACAAAGTCAGGTGGATTTAAAAAACAACAAATCCTCCCCATTTTTCTACAGTATGCCAATAAAAAGTACTTATCTGCATACACTAGATTTAAATATTTCACTGCAATAAACTACATTAAATGCATATTGCATTTCAGTGTCGGTAACAGATCTGTCAGGAGTAACTTCCATACCTAGTTTCCATTGAGCTGCTGCTGAGGAATGTCATTATGGTCAGTGCCTGATTTGCCACGGCTTTTGCTTTCTCTTTCTTCATCCTCTTCATCTCTTTCATCATTTCCACTATGGTTTTTACAATAGAGTCTAAGACAACAAAAGAAACAGTGAGGACTTTCACTGAAAATATCTATCAAAACCAGACTTTCCTCTCAATTAATTTTGAGGTGTGCTACAAGTCAATTGCTAACTCTTAACTCCTTCATGGCTTTCAGTCAAGCATCAGTCAAACTGAGAAAGAGGACAAGGCTGAAGCCTAGCCAACAAAACCTGGATCAATCCCAGTTTCCAAGAACTGCTGGTGCACTGCTCGGAGAATGCCCTCTTGTGGGCACAGCCACACCGGCAACGCGATGGCAGCCAAGCCACTAACGCCAGCAGTTCAGCAAGCAGGTACGGAAAGTTATGGGGTCCAAAAAACCGAAAATAAGCTACAAAACATATCAATATGGAGAAATCGTGACATAAGTTATCCAAGGTTTCCTCAGTATAAATTACAGATTGAGGACGAAAATATGTCAATTAATTTTCTCATTTCTTGTATTACAACACTACTGCACAAATTTTCACTTAGCAGAATTACTGAAATACTTTGCAGAGTCAAAAATTACTTAAAAATACCATTTAAAAAGATAATATTATCTTTTTTAATAACATACTTGACCAGCAAAGTTAGGCAGAAAAAATGCCATGAAATACCTTCACTTTCATCATAGATTCAAGAATTACATAGGTCCTTACTTATAAATCCCTCGTGACATATTCTCAATGTATTTAGCTTTGTCTTCTACTCCACAGTGGTAATGGTATGTTTTTATGCAGGCTTTAATTTCACACCCAATAGTAGCACCAGGCTGGCTGCAAAGCGTGCATTTCTGTGCAGGGGAAAGAAGAAAATGGCACCGTTCAGCCTTCCAGTCTCTTGCCTCTTAGTATTCATTGCAGTGTTCTGCGTATTTATGGCCACCATTTTGGAACAGAGTAATTTCTCTGGCAAATCATCCTTCCCATGAAAAGCTAATAAAAAATATTGTAAAACAGAAACTATCTAACACTCAGCTATTAAAATATGATCACTAGGATCTACCTGTCCATTGTATTGAAAATCGCTACACAATTGCATGTATTACTACATTTCTAAGACCATTTAGAAATGAAGTTATTTATATTTTAGAAATATTATTATATCTATTATTTAGAAGTGAAATGAATGAAGGCCAGTGAAGTTAGTATGCTGATATACGAAGAATCTTAAACAATTTTTTTTTCCAAGGAACAATACAGTTACAAGCTTTTTGTTTTCTTCCTCCCCCCAAAATTTCTTACCACCTTAAAAACATCTTGAATTTTAATAAAATACAATGTGATATTTTACCAACTTCCCCATCTCTGAGGCCTTAATATGTTTTCATATTAAAATGTCTGAACAGTTGGAAACAAGTTACTGCAAGAACACATTCTCTAAGTTTATTTGTAGTTTTACAGTGTGCTTTTAATAACACAGGATCCAAAGTTGTTACTCTTTTATAGGTACAGGAAGGCTAACAATAATTTACAATGCACGCTGTCATAAAGAATTCTAAATACGACATGCCCAACCACCACTAATTTTTAAGGTGATTTTTATCTGGCTACCCATCCCAAATGTAATAATACATTTAAATTTTGGGTTTAGAAATGGGTGAAAAAGATTGTTTTCAAAAGGAAGGAGGCCCAGCTATACACACCTTAGTAGAATCAGTAACATGTTCATCACATTCTGCAGATACATACCATTCTTTTTCCTCTCTTGATTTCTTGAAGTACAGTTTTGATATCAAAATCACCAAACTCTGCCCTTGAAGTTGTTGTTAGCTGGACAGTGCCAGAAGAGAACAACTGTAAAACAAGTCCAAAATAATTTCAGGTCACCAACATGATTAGAATATTTTTTATGTGCAGGAATAACTGAGTATTGAACATGCTCTTCTGTGATCTCAGACACCATGTGCTTTACCGACAAACTAGGAAAAAAACTCATGCTGAGTAATTAGTATGATGAGTATTCCTTCTGATACCCACCTGACTGCTCTAATTACATTTGTTGCCTTGGAGAAATATATCTTAAAAGACAAAGGAGTAGACAAAGAATACAACATGATGAAAACACCAAGTAACAAATGGGCAATATTGTCAATTACACCACTGAACTTTTTAGGAATATTCCATTTCCATCCCTGCAACATATATATAAATTCAGCTTCACAGCACAGCTGATGTCAATATACCTGAAAAGCCCTGAGGGGTGACAAGGCAGTACATAAGTACTTTCCCTGCTACCATCATCATGGTATATTCAGTTTAAACTGTCTTAAAACTGAAGCTCAGGTACACAGAGTAGCGAAGAATACTCTTAAGACTTCAGGCTGCCTGGCACACACCAGCTCTCCATTTAGTGAGGCCAGATATAGGAAGACAGATAATGGTCCACAGATTGCCTGGAGTATTTATTCATTTTGAGGTACACCAGGAACCACTGAGGTTTGTAACTCAATGAGTTACATGCAAGATAGCACTATCTGCTCATGTTTGCTGAAATTAGCAGATTCTTTTCAGGCTGACAGTTCTATAAATGTGATCGCCTAAAGATGCAAGGGTTTTCTACAACTTCCATGCCCCACTCTACCCGAGTCACACAGCCTGGTCAGAAAATCAATGAAGTTCATGGATTTTTCCCAGATTTTGTCTGAATGCCTGTGGAGTGAAGGTATTTCATTTTTGGAGTGGATTCTTTTAGTTAAAACTGCTTTCTGTTTTCTTATTTAAATATTGTGTATGCATGTAGATTCTAAGGGAGCTTTTTTAATAAGCTAAAGAGTCTCCCTGAGCTAATTCCATCTCTTAGCACGTAGTCAATTTTTATCCATATTGCCAGCAGTGAAAATAAATGAATTGCTCATTTCGCAACACTTCAGCACTTAAAGAGATCATCAGCACGCAGACAATACTCATGCATAGTTACATGTGAGGGTACTGTATTAAAATCTAAAATAGCAATTCAGACAAAATTCACATAATAGACTGGTTAACAACAATACTATTACTCACCATGCACTTATAGTGTGCTGCAGCCTTTTTGGCATTAAATATATGAAGCTTTCCTCTAGCTTCATTTTCTTCTTCACCTGCATGACAGAATCCACATTTAGGTTTTGTATCACTGGGGCTGCTTCTGTGGGGAGACCTGTCTCTCTGAAAGAAAAACATTTTACTAAAACATACTGCTGGGTTACAAATACAGTTGTAATTTTAAAAGCCTGTGGCCACCAGCTGGAGGCTCAGACAAATGCAATTTTTAACAAAAATTATATTCGCAGAGAAGAAACATGCAATTCTGTCTTCTAAGAAGTTTAGCATATTTACTGCTTACATAGGAACTGCTTTCTATTTCATCTGTGCCATGTGAGGACGTAGATCTAGTGTCTTCTGATTGCCCTTTTAAATTTGTTTTTCTTGGCTTTCCCTTACGACCCCTCCTTTTTCCTTTGGGAGGTGAAGGCTCCAACTCGTGTTCATTGATACTTTCTTCTAAATCTGCTTTAGAATTTAGAAAACATGATCAAAAAAGAGTCTCAAAAATTTTACACAAAACAAACCAACCAACCAACCAGACAAGAAAAAATGTCAACTGTATTTTCTGTATTTTGGTCAGAAATAAAAATAGCAACTTTTCCCCATTTGTTACAAACATGCAACTGCAGATCCTGAAAACATGATTTACTTCTTTATACATATCACACAGCTCTGCATCTTTATAACATAATACATATATGAAGGTTTAGCATTTCTTACAACTTCTACTTTCAGATCCAAAAATGTGTCCTCAGATATATTCACCTCCATTGAAAATAAGACTCATTTAAACTACACTGAAACCAGAAAATGTTTTCAACCATGAAATGAGCTTTTAATTTAATTTTTTTGGGATTCGTAACTCCGACATAAATTGCCCTTGATATTATGCCAGTGTTTCTAAGTAACACCTTTCTCCTTGCTTTATTAATTGATGTCTTCTGAGTTAAGGAAAAAATTCACCCATTTTGGCTATAACACTCACACCGAGTTTTAAAACTGACATGTATTTTGCCTCTATGAAACAAATCTAAAATTTTATTTAGTTAGTGTATTTTCACATCTACAGCTAAAAGCAGCCACCAGTTTACAGAAAATCATCCACACTGACAATATCTCAGATAAAGTATTTACAGAGCATTAAGAGCATAAGAATGTATATTTTTAATACAGACATACCAAAGAGGTCTAACAAGTTCCTTTGAAAATGTCAGCTCAACTGCTGAATGCTACACAGAACTGTAGTCCAATATTCTTGCAGACTGTCCTTTTGATTACACAAAGCTCCACAGTGAACACACATCAGTTCTGCACTTAAGACTGCTTCCAATATGATCTTGTTAAGTTATATCTTATACTGAATAACCAGCTCTGTTCAGTCACTAACAACTTTCCTGATCATCAGCTGCTCACAGGAGTGTCTTTCTTACTGCTTTTAATATGTAACACCCACCCCTGCTCAAGCTGCAAAGACATTTCAGCAAGCTTGTTTAAAGAAACACGCATACATACTGCTAAAGAACTTGCTTCTCAAAATCTAAACCACAAACATCAGTCAGTATAAGCCCTCAAACAGAAGGAAATCCTAATCAGAAGATGTGGAACATCTACTTCATACATTAATGGGCCACTTAAATAATAATAATAATGCCACAACAGTTAAGTGTTGCTATGGCACTTATAGCCATTATATCGTGGTCTCAGTATCCAGACACGACATCTTACATTGAGACTAAATGCTGCTTTGCCAGAACTCCTCTTTCTGATCTATTATCACACAAAAATCAAATCACATTTCTATCTCATGATTAACAGTGACTCAACTTCACAAAAGTTTGAAGTCAAAGACTTGAAACATATTCCACAGCCATCGACAGGGAGCAGAAGCTAACTGAACCACTGGCCCCAGGCCTTGCACACAAGTGTATCCTATTAAGCTCAGTCTGTCGTATCTGTCACTAATCCCTGAGAAAGATACAGCTTCTTGTGCATTTATTAATGAACAACAGAAAACAAATCCAAATGCATCACAACAGGTTATATTGAAACATAATTCCCCCAAAACTTTGTTCTATGGTTAGAAAGAGGCAAAAATTTGAGAATAAACTACTACAAATCTGCAAATTATTTTGGCTTCAATTGACAGATTATTCAGCTATATACAGACATTCCCAAGTTGCTACCAGAATATATCAGTCTGTCTACCACAACGTTCCTATGCTTTAATGCATATACACTATTCTTTTCTAATTAGCTGACAACAGCACTATCTATTTTACACTGAAAAAAAAAGAAAATAAAATACACAATGACATGGATTACCTAATGAAACAACACATTTTACATTTTCTTCTCAGAATGTACTAACATTTTTCATTTATCATTACTCGCTAAATTCCCAATTATTAAAATCCCAAGCAAGTTTATGCAATATAGATATTGTACCTCTCAGATTGCATATAGCAAATTTTGTTACAACCTGAAAATCTATTTCAAAGAAAAGAATCCTCTTTTATCTTGTCCCTCATCATACGAGCTCTCCACCAATGTATTACAAGAAATCTGTGAATCTTTGTCTCTACTTTTACATTTCCAGAAATCATAGATGATTATTGTGGAAAAAAAAAAAAGTCTGACAAAAATTTGACTATTGAATTTGTGACCCTTTAAATAACATCAGTAAAAAGTTAAAAATATTCCCTCCAAAATCATTCCAGGGATTTCCCTACTGGATTTGATGAAGCAAAATGTAGTCCATTCACCAACATTCCTTATTTTTCCCAAAGCTCCTTATCAATTCTGTCAACCATAATGTTATCCACCTCTCAGTCCACCCCTATTTTCTAAATAACATTAAAGCATATCCTGAACTGTCTACAGTCACACTTTCAAAACTGGAAGTGAATCATCATTGCTAAAAACCAAGCACACGTTATGAAAACCAAGTTCTTGTACAAAACGTCACAGCCTCCTTATAGAATAAGTTCTTAAGTGCTATTTTTAAGTCTAGAATTATGAAAATATTTAAGATTTGAAAAGTAAAAATGCTATATTTTTAAAAGATGGTTTCAGTGTAAGGTAAAAAAAAAATCAAGATTGCACAGCTTTCCTCAAAGGAGGACCCCTTTTCTGTGCTCAAAACTAGTAATTCAAAAAAAGTTCAGAGTTCATTGAAATCTAGATGAGATGGAACCCTTCATTAAACTAAAATTCCTGGCAGATGTAGGTCTCCTACTACAAGTGAGGTGGCCCTACGGGTTAACACCACCGAGATGTAAGGATCTGCTCTACCACATCTATCTGCAAAACTGATACCTCAAAACATTCAAGTTGCTCTCATTTTTAGCAGCACTACGAACTACTGTAACAGTACAGGAAGAAAGAGACTGTAACCAGCTTTAAAATACACCTGCCTTGGATGGCCGTTACTGTTTAATACACAGTTTGGTTTGTGCCCTATCCCTCCCCTCAAGCCCACTGCCAGCTTACCCTGTTTCCCTCGCATCTGATGGTTGGGTGTTTCCAACTTCTCATGTCAGCTTGAACTAAGGAAAACACAAAAAGTTGTTCAACTCCTCCCTGACCAGATGACGTTTTAGCACGGATATCACCCATACTCTGAATCCCCTGAGGTTCCCTAGATATTCTTCTATTGCCCCCCATCCCATATCCCATTACTGCATGGATTTTTAAAATCATCACAATATTCTCAACAAAGTTATGTAAGGCCTTCAAAGGAGGTATCTTACGAGCTTTCTTCCCTAAATGCTGTATCTGAAAAATCAAGCTTACTACGCACTATGGTCTGAGAAGGAGGGGTGGGGGTAGAAATCAAGAGGAAACATCCTACATTTCAAAAAGCACCTAAGAACACGATATTGTAAATTCAGATGAGTGAAAAGATGAGCAGCAACAAGCCCCAAATTTGCATTTTAGAAATCCATGAGCAGTACAAAGTACCACAAAAAGAAGACTAGCAAAATGCTGTGTTACATAAACTGTTAACAGGGAGACTCAGCTTCAGAGAGAAATCTAAAAATTCTCCTTTGAGCATGACTAGAAGGAAAAAGGATCAAGATGTCTTGCTGTTTAAAGTAAGGCTTGGCAGAGAAGAGGTTGAGACATCACGGATCTATTCTATATGGCATCCGCTTGAAATACACATGGAACCACCCTTTTCCAAAAGCTGGGTTAAAGCAAAGTAATAAAAGAATTAAGTGATTTAAAGGTTGTGAAAGAACAAATAAAAAGAGGATGTGTACAATAAAGGCTAATACTGCTCTCTGTATCCACCTCCAACATTACCTTAAACAATAGACTAAGTGAGCCAGAAGCAAAAGGGGCTAAGTCTGTACAAGGAAGATAATAAACAAAGCTGACTAGCAAAAATGTATTTGCAAGTAGGACTGTACATGAAAAGAAGCCAAAATGTAGAATGTGGAAGCAGCTTAGACATGCTGTTATGTAAATCTGAAATCACACATATGTATTTAAAGTTTTACAGTGCATTTGAGATAAAAGAGAGACTCTAAAAATTACAAAGAACAAAATCAACCTTACTAGATTTTCTGGAAGAGAAATGGAATATAACAGAGAAAGAAAAAAGTACTTTAGCATGTTAAAGCAAGATGTCCTTAAAATATGACTGAAACCCAATGAACCATATGTGGCAACAGGATTATTTTAAATTGAAAAGGAATGTCACAAAACCTGGAAAACCGTATTGTCCCAGTAGTCAATAATAAAAATGTGAATGTATCTATAAGCATTCATAAGAATCAGAGATTTGCATAAAAACCCTTGCAAGCAAATATAGAATCAGGTAAATTGATCATGAAATAATAGTAGCTTTTATCAGCAAATGATGTGATATTAACAAATATAATGCTGAATATAATCTGCTTTTTTTTGTTTTAAGTGGAAAAAGACTAAGTTACATGAAACATTAATCTGGAGAAAGGAAGAGTGGAGAGAAAAAAAAATATTACATTACCCCTTAGGTCCTGTCACTAATATGTTTTCCAAAAGTACCAGATACCTCAAGGAACTGATGACTCTCGTTCAAAAGCTATTTTTGACTGAGTTGTATCTACCTTAGGAAGTACTTGAGATTATTTCTTTAATTAAGCACGTTTAACATAGAAAATGAATAAAATAGTCTTTATAACCATAAAATCTAAATGCTTGTCCAAGCAAACAATCGTTGGCAAAGTCTGAAGACAGACAAAACACTTAGCTTTATCTGCGTAATCAGAAAGCGTCTGACAACTGGTATGATAAACCTGTTAAGTATGACTTGGCTGAGCAAGTTGCTATTTGCATAACGTCTTGCCTAAATAGGCAGGAGAATTATAATGTAAACACCACAGGATGGCTCCTCAGATAGGACAAACCATTCACCACATTACTCTCACATTTTTTGCTTTTCCATTAGCTCTGCGTTTTTCCATAAGAAAACACCCTTGCAATGTTTCTGCGAAATACCTCGTTAGTCTATAATGGACTGCACAGGAGATCGCTAACTTACTGCCTAGACCAACTGGTTTTGTCATAACTCTACACATACATTTGATGCCAAATGCAGAGCAGCATTCTCTGTAAGACAGACAAGAAGGCTGAGTTAGCAGAGCCTAGGAAGAATTTGTTACCTTCCACCAGCAGAACTGAAACGACCCTGAACTCCAGTGTTATGGAAACTTCTATACCTGACTGCATTAATTCATACAATGTTAGGCAAGCTTACGCTGTGAACACTGTTACAGAAAATGCAACTATGAGAAAACACTGATTAAATAATCCAAAGATAAATCAGGATGTTTCCTACCTATAATGCCAAAAAGTTTTGGATGTTTCTCCTGTCAGTCTCTGGCTTACAGAGCAGTTTGAAAAAGTACTGTTTGATATAGATTGCAGCATCCCTAAATGCATGTCTCAGAGAAATATTATCCTGACTCAACTTACTGAGCCATACGAGAAGCACAGATTTCATATCTGATCTTTAGAATAACATGAAAAGGATGCTGAGACAGGGAACGTCCTTATTTCCATTGTACAAACATAATTCCCTGGGGCTTTGAGTACAGCTACAATAGGAATTATGGACACTTCATTTTCTGACCCCACAGTTCCCAAGCTTCTGTTTTGAACATTAACAATAGATCATCACATGGCTGTCTTCATTCTTCTTTGTTTTACTACTACGTAGCAGAAGAATGAAATTACATTCTTATCTTAGTTTATATTAAATTATTCCTGATCAGCTGAATTTGTTTTAAACTCCACACAGGGGCCATGGCAGCCCCACCTGCAGAGAAGTGAAAGATACCAGATTTTAAATTTTTCAACAATTATTTACAGTACGTTGGAATAAAATTCCAACAAACAGTTCCAAAACCTTAGCTTAACAATACTCCATCCTTCAGAAAGAATAAATGCAATTGTATCAAACTGAACAGGAATTCAATTAATAGTTAGCTGCGATAGTTTGAACGCACTGGCACCAAATCCTGTAACCTATTAGGTACAGCAAACGTAGACAGCTTGCCTAAATTATGAATTAAACTATTATTTGAAGTTCAGGTCAGATTATTTTGCTAGATTTGTCACCAACAAGACAAAAATCTAGACACGAAGCTTTCAGTAACTTGGTCTGCTCCTCTGAGCAGGAGTCTTCAAATCTGTTGACCTCACCGCCACAGCCTAGTACAAAGTGCGAGTACCTCACTTTTACTGTCCTTTTTCCAGTTAGTGGGAACACAGCACAGAAGAGTCCCTCTGAAATACACATACACCAAGGAAATACAGGAGGAATACAATTTTCCTAGTCTGTGTCACCTGAAGGCTAGGCCATACAGATAATTTAGACAAACCCAACAATCTGCTGAAACAGATAATGAATTTAAGAGCACAACACTTTGCTGCCATGTGTCATATTTTTATATTCAAAGAAAACAGAAGGTAGTTCAGCAACTCCTGTCAATGAAGGGAAAATGAACTCCCATCGCTCATTAATTTTGTCTTGATGAGTAGAAAGATACTTAGTCTGATGAATTCTCGTGCCACTTGAACTTCCTGACAGCAATACGTAACATCTGAAGAGGTCCGTTTTATTAGGTTTTAACTGGGTAACTAACTCCAGCATAGGTCTTTCAACCACATTTCCACGCAGCCTCAAGAAATTTTCTTTTAACTGTTATTAGATGTTAACAATGGTTATTCTAGGTTATTATTTTAACCTAGAACTTCCAACAAAAGGTACATTAGCCAGACCTCAGACTTGAAAAGTATGCCCTGAAAGCACTGATTTTCTAGGTATGAGAAGGAAAAATCTCACTATTATGCAGCAGTACGACCTACAGAAAATAAACTGTTCTGGACTGCACCAAACCACACACTCCTAAAAACTCTTCCAACACCCACTAGCAGAAGTCATATAATAAAAATATTTGACCACAATAGTTATATCTGGATATAGATAACAAAGGATAAAAAACAGATGTTCTACACAGGCCAAGGAAAAAAGAAAACAAAACCAACATCCCAGAGCAGGAGCAGTAAGTTTCCACCAAAAAGGACTGATAATTCCAGTGCCTCTGTGCACTTACAGCAAGTGACATAACCACAGATGAGCTTTAACTGTTCTGTTACAAAAACACTTCTGAGGGCTAGGATTCATGAAAATACATATATAAAGCTTAACTTCACCACCCAACATCTTCCAGTTACCATTTCACTGACCAATCTTCAGAATTTAAATATTAACAAATCCTCCAAAGTCCCTTCTTAAACTCTGAAAAACACCCTGTATATTTCTGTCTTCTAAAGGCAATTAGTTTTCAATGTAGCAAAATACCATTGCTATACAAATGCTGTAAGTCATTTCCATAGGACAGACGCAATATGTATTTTTACTTTCTTTGATTTAAAGGAAGCCTATCACAAAAGAGCTCCAGCTTCTGGCATTATCAAATCCATAATACGTAAGTAATATTTTATGGGTATAGTTCCCTAAACTGTATGGACTAAAAAGAGAACATATTCCTTGGGAAACAGCACTGGGTAAAATTTCAGTCAAATATTAAACAAAAAACAGAAAACAAAAATGTGAAGTATAGCTACATGTATTTCTAGAAGTTTAAAGTGTAACAGAACTAAGTATTTTCTTCTCCTACCCTCAATCTAAGTCTCTTTGGATGAGTCCAGTTTAATGTTTTAACAGACTGCCATCATCAACATTTAAGAAAAAAGCAACTACGCCTCTAGTAATTTTTCCCATGTATTCTCAGACAAATATATCCATACAAAATTTAAAGGCTTTGCTGTCAGACAATGACACTGTAGAACTGGAGATAATGGTTTCTGAAAACTCTTAAAGAAAAGCACAAGTTCAGACCCTGCAAGGAATTCCAAGCACAAAAAGTTGTCTGTTGGCATTGGGCTCCATGCAGAATTGGAGGCATTTTTCAACAGATGTCAAACACTGATCCATTTGTGAACAAGTACAAAAGATTACGTTTAAATATCAGTTAAAGAGAGTAATGCACACAACACTAACTATTTAAATAGACAAAAAAATCAGTTTTCTCTTGGGATTTTCTACTGCCTTCAACATCTTTCTGAACAGTGAAGTAACATCCAAACACGTATCTACTACCCATAGCATAATAAGTAGTGTATTACCTTAATAATACATTTGGTAGAGACTGGAGTAATTTATGAAATTTCATCTTCACTAAATAGTCACGTACTCCTTACTTAAATCTGATGACATTTCAGTTGAAAGTAATACAAAAAGTAAACTAACAACTGTTCGCTTACCCAAATACAGTAGAAAAAAGGAAAAATACCTGCATACACAATAACACAACTCGTTTGAAATTCCAACAGACCACAGGATTTATCTACGTTTGTGGCATATCACCCCTCACGCATTTCACTACTCTCCTCTGCAAATATGCACAGCTTTTATGAATGTATCCATACAGCTTTTTTTGTTTATCAAAATGACTCAGAAATATACCTTTAAGCGATCTGATCACAAACCTTTTTATTTACAATTGGGTCCTTCTTATTTGAAGAGTTAAACTCTATTTATAGTTCAAAAAATAGTGAATATTTAGGGACATTAGCATGTCAGCTGTTACCTGACAAAATATTTTAAATGTTAATATTGTCAATATTTAACTACAAACACAAGCCAGCTTCGTCCCAGAAGGGAATGCATTACTTCTACCCAAACTTTTTTCTGACAGAATATAAAATCTTTCGAACATCCTAAAATTTATGTTTTTGGTTTTTCTCCACCTTTCCCAATAATTTTCAGAAAAAATACAGAAATCAGATGGGCTTCCAAACTCATTGTTTCTCAAAAAAAAGTACTTCTAATTCTTATTGAAAACAATTATATTCTCCAGAAAAATTCAATTTAACCAAGTATCTTTCTACAATGGGAAAAATTTATATTGAATAATTTTACCTTCAGAGTTATGCGTAGTTTTCTTGTGTTTTCGACATAAAATCCTATAAACAAAGTAGTTGAAAACTGTCAAGTCAGTCACGATTCACAGATTATTTACTCATCTTTTAAATTTAAATGCCAGTACATTTTCCTCCCACTTGTAAGACTCACTGATATACAAATCTTGCAGTAAAAATACGCTTTTCTAGCACATCACTATTTTGAATGCCACAATCATCATTAGAATTTTTTGCAACAGTTCTGTTTAGATTCCAAAGTGGGGTTTTTTGTTTTGCTTTGTTGTTGCTTTTTTTTAAACAAAGAATGAGAAATATAAATACAAAAATAAACATAGCAAATAAATAATAGTTACATGTAAATGCCTTGTGAGGGTTTCTCTCTTATCTGAGCTTTATCATGCAAAGCACAGTAGTAGTGATAAGTCTTGTGACATGTTTTCACATCACAGCCAATGGTCGCTCCAGGACAATGGCATAAAGAGCACATCTGTAAAGAAAATGAAAGCACAATCCATGTTACTGTTGGCTTGGTATTTCTGAGTTCAAAAATAATATAGCTACCACCCCTGGTGACAAAATAAATGGAGGTATGCAACTGGTGTTACTCTTTCTGCTCTTGGGTGTTTTTCATAATTTATTTTAAAATAAAAGAGAAATTTGTTGTAATTACGCAACAGTACAATAACCATCATACACTGATTATCAATTCAACAAAGAAAACAAGTAATTTACTTCTGTAGAATGTGTTTGATGAAAGCGACACAGCTATTCACCTAAATATCCCACTCCCAAGGGTAGTCTGTTTGTACCAACCACTTCAGAAAAGTTAAGATCATAAATTGTACCTATTTAATTCTGAATTACATTACAAAGGCAGAAGAAAAAAAAAAAGACACCCATTTAGCAATGAATCATGCAGTCAGAAACACTGATACCCTGAAAATTCACCTTAGCCTCAGCAGATAATTTTACCTCTTTTTTTACGTGGTTATCTCCATAAGTAACTTCCAAAACACTACATTTAGTGAAATATTTGTTAAATACAATTAATTTATTTCAATTAGACTAACTTTTGCTCTTTATAGTTGTATTGCAGAAAGGGTTAAATGGGAGCCTGTTGTTTCTTTCCCAATAACTAGTTCTTCTCATATTAGACTCATCATTGCTTAAGATACACTGATTATTATGCTTCTAAATTGTTCACTGCCCTTCTTATAATTTGTTAGGAAAGAAAGTAATTGACAGTATCACAGTATTTTTGTCTGTATTATTTTTGCTGACATATTGCCCCAAAATCTCAAAATTTCCCATTAAACTTCCATCGCAAGACAACCAAAGCTTTTTGTTTGTGTCCTGTCTGTTGCCCACGTCCCCAAAAGGTTACAATTAATTCAAATCCTTAAACGTAATTGTACAACGTAGGATACTCCCTACATATATCTTTGTCGAATACACTTTCTGTGCTCTGTGCTAGCTTAGCCAAGTTCTTGTTAGTCTCAAATATGTCAAATAAATATACCACCAAAATTACGTATCACCATCCTGTTTTTCAATTTTAACAAAGTTAACTGAACAGTAAAAAATGTCAAAGCCTTGGATCATCTCCATTTACTCCTCTGCAAGCTCTGAAATGGTATATGTATATACCGTTCCCTAGCTGTTACCTAATTTGTATGGGTATTTTATCTCAAATTTGTTATACGTTATGGTTTAATGTATAGTAATGGCTGATCAAAGCTCTCTATAAAAGCCAAGGTTGAAATTATATCCATCCAATCAATTTTAGTCAGTATTTCAGTATTTTGAAAGCCAGAAATGACTAAAAGAAAACTTTTTTTTTTTTTAAATGAACACCATGATGTATCCATATGAACAAAACAGACCACAGGAATTTTTATCCTGATTTATCGGTCTATGTCTCCTGACAGTAATAAAATACTTCTTCCATCCGTAGAAGTCCTGCTGTCCAAATGATCACTGTCAAAAAAATTAATTTCCAAGTTGTATCACCTATATATGAAGTCCGACAAGCTTCAAAGTAGGTAACCTCTTTAAAAAAATCCGCCCTCGCACAGCTAACAGAAATAATAATGGTATCAGTGCCTTGTACCCCCAAACGTTTAATGTAAGGTTTTCTGACTGGCCTATTAAGGTTTGAACTTTAATAATACTAACAATATTAATATTAATTTTAAATTAATCAATATAAATATTAATTGATATTAATAACAATAACAGTAATAATAACAAACTTTTCTCAGACAGAAATATATTACCCTCAGCAAGGCTCTACATGTCACTCAGTACCACTTCAGTAATGAACAGGCCTCAGTTTTCAGGGCATACCTGGTCAGCAGCAGCACCTCCCGCAGGAGCGCAGCTACGGAAAATCTGTCAGCAGACAAATTTAACCCAAGCTATCAATATAATTACTTAACCCAGTGCACCACGCTGAGATATTTTTGCTCAGTGTGTTCCCACATAAAAGAACAGGCTAGAACAGAAAGCACACCTTAGAGGGAGTATTTGGGCTAACTATAAACATTTAGCTTTAAGCTTCCTACAGAAGTCAACGGAGAAAGATTCCTCCAGAGAGTAATTCCGAGCTGTAGTTTTCTGACAGCTACACACAGAGATAACGCACCTAAGTTAAGATCTAAAATTGTCTTGTAAATTCTCTCCAAATAGGAAACATCTCAGGACTATGAATCCACTTAGGTTAGCCAGATCCAGGCTTTCCACAAAAAGCTGAACAAACTGCCCGATATGTACAGCTAGCGACCTCCAAGAATATATCCAGCTGTTACATCAGCAAAGGAACATAAAGTGATTCAGAAGCAAAAAGGCATAAACCACCAATGACATAAAAAGAAATAACCTTCAAAAAACATTTAAGAGACCCAAGAATCAAAAGGTTGCGATTCATAGTTCCATTTACTACCATGTACTCTGGAAAATCCCAATCACACAAGGAATGACTTGTGAATGCTTCAGCTAATTAGGGCAAGTAAAGTTCCCTGCACTGGAAAAGATTCAAATGAAACACTGGGTGAAATATTAAGACTATTATTATGTAATTGTAGTTCTATAATAATACTTCGGACTACTCTTAGTAGTCCAAGAACTGTTAAATATATAACAGCATTTTAAATAACTACGCTGAAAATTTTTTACATGAGGAGTGAATTGAGCATTTCTTAAAAATATTTTAAAAAACATTTAAAAAATTATTTTTAAAAAGCCTCATGCATTTCCCCAAGTGAAAAACAACTAGTTCTAAATTAAAAATACATCATGAATTAGCTTCTTGGGAATTAAAAAAGTCATTGCTGCTCAATTCTCATTAATTTGGTAGAGCCGTAATCACTGTTGTACGCACGTACCTCATCAGATGTCTGTATTCACAGAACCATCTATCTATTAAATCTATATAAAAGGAAGCAATAAAAGTACCTTTGGTAGTTAAAACCAGATTTTGGCAGCAAAACCAAATACTGGTAAAGGCACAATAATACCCTCACCAGGTCCCTAGAATGTCAGTTTCTTTCTGAAATCTAACAGAAAATGCTAAATAGAAGTTACTGGATTAGAAGTATAAATTTAGAAAATTCCATTGTTTATACGCAGCCCACCAAAAAGAAAAACAGGTATATTCAGTAAATGAGTTTTCAGACTTGCTTGGGAAAAATGCATATCTGCTACAATCAGCTATATTTGCCAATGAGGAAAAAAAGTGGATGTAAAAATAATAATTCTGGATTTATTTTTTAATGACTCCATGAATAAGCTATAATTCTTAAAACAACACATTAACAAGGGAGCAAGACTTGCCTGAAATAAACAAACTACTTTTTATCCTTTCCTAAATACACTTCAAGGGTTGGTTAACTGACATTTAAATTTCATTTCAATGTAAGTATAATCATATCTACTGAGGTTTCCTTTTTGTAAATCTGAGATCAATTTTACTCCAACATCTTCTACAAGTTGTCCATTACCTTAGGGCTCACACAAAGGCAGCACTTTAAAAAAAAAAAAAAAGCCCGAACATATATATAATACACTGAACAACTTCATGGTAAACTTTACAGAAGGTAAGAAAATATTGTCTTCCATTTTCAAGAGCAAAAAATAGAGACTCACCAGTTTAGTGCCTCTCTTTATTTCTTTCTGAATATCTTCAATAGAGAATCCACCGAGACTCTCATTATCAGTGTGTGAAGACACCAGTGCAGATGAGAACAGCTAAAATTATAAAAACAAAACTTATTTTCTAAGTCTTAAAGGTAAAAGTGAGATAGAGCATTTACACATATGAAACCCACAAAAAATTCTAATTACAGCGATTAATCGTTTGTGCCAGTGCCACAGCTGGCTGAATTCTTCATTTGCTCGTAGCCTTTTTACTAGCTCCCGACATTCCTCTCCCTTTTCCTAGGGGTTACTTACCATACATTTGTGATGTGCTGCCACCTTCTGGTTTTCTGACATCAATAATTGTCCACATTCATTATCTTTATTAGATCTACAAAAACCACACTTCCTTTGTCTTGAAGCAACTTTTTTCTGTCCAACTGAGCTTGTCATGATTTTAAATGACCTTAGAATGCCACTTCAATTCTCTCAATACTACAGGAAAAGAAAAAGGTGCAATCAGCACGTTAACATCAACAAAAGGCAATTTAACTTGCAGCTTTGATAAATATAATATTGGTTGCTTGAAAATTATCTATCCCCCTTTTTACCCTTTTCTTTACACTAAACAATATATCCAAATAAACATGTACCCCACAAAGGCAGTATTTTGCCAATTTTATATGAAATTGTATCAGCAAGCAGAATTGGTTTGCTCAGCAAAAAAAGTTAGATCGTCAATATAAAACTTCGGACACGTACAAAACTTACGGGGAAAAGAAGAAATTAATGGAAAATACAAGTACAGCAATCCTTAGATGAAGAAGCTACTGCAACTCTTTCATGCCATTCTTATTGTTATTTATTACAGCAAAGGAAAGTGTAGAAAATGCACTACCTGTGCATGCAATAAATTTCATGCTATTGAACTTCCTCAAAAACCGAAGCGAAGGAAAACCCGGAAGTCCACCGTAGCATCCAGAGCAGGTTTTGAGCGTCAAAGCTCACAAAGTAGCACACCAGATGAGTAACTACCCTCAGATGAGGGTGGAGATGAGAAGATAAAACGTGACCATTTTAGGTATTACACAGATACACTGTGGCTAGTCCAACAGCATTAGGAACAGAATTTTAGAAGGATCTATGGATGACTAACACACTGCAATGGAAACCTTTTCAAGACCCACAGTTAATTCAGCAGCACTACGCTAGTTTTCAGTAAGCGCACGAGAGCTGCTATTCTCATTTAAGAAAAGAAACTTAAAATTAAACTCAACATGAATCACAAACTTTTCATGTGTTACCAGCACCACGTTTTAAAATGTAGCACTGAGGTCCCAACCCCTAATCCGGCGGACACGGCAGAGTGAAAATACGCAATGAGGGGACCTCCTTCTTGGCCCAGTATTAAGCTGTTTGTGTTCATTTATTTCTATATCTCTCAAGAAACAAAATATTGTCCTCTTCAAACAGACATGCTCAGAGCTTTTTACATTGGAGATCTGAACCTTCCCGTCAGAGTTGGCCACTACTGCAATAAAAGCATCCTCCCTCCTCAGCCTTTGTCTACATTAGACTCATCTAAATAAGAAAAGCCACCACATAGTTTGATATTTCTGTTGAAAAAATAATCCAGCCATAAGAAGAGCAGAGTTGCAATACATCTGGACTGCGCTACAATGGCGATCTGCACGAAAATGCATGACTGTTTTCTGAAATTTGCATAGGCAAACCTGCCTGCGTCTCGGCACTGTCAGACTCCCATAATACTAATATCACTCACTATTTCTCTAATTGAAAGCAGAGGAATGCCATTAAGTTCCTGTCGGCATATACTACTGCTAAAAGAAAATCCTTTCAGATTCTCACTCTTCTGTTTCAACAGATTTTCACAGACCGAGTTTTCAGTGTCTTGCAATGCTTACTACAAAACTCCTACATCAAAAGGTGTCTGTCCTGTATCTACCGCCTTTGCTGTATCAACAGCTCCGTTTGCTTTCTTTTATAACTGGAAAGCAGTTTACCAGCCGGTGACGCATACTCATAAGAAGAATGCATAGATTTCGGATCTTGCTGATTTGCACAAAAAATGTGCCAATCTGGATAAACTAGTCACACCCTTTTGCAGTGGCAATAGAGAGTCCTTAAGTGTTAAACACAAAAGAATTACTATACTGTATTCTCCTAAAGAAAAAACAAAACAAGACCATTCTGTAATCCCTTCTGAGTAGAAGAATGGTTTCTGAAGGAAAGATACACAGATTTTCAATTTTTTTAAACTATAATTTTTTAAACTTAAAAAAAATACAAAAGACAAGTAGGAAATAATATCACAAAGATGTCTTGTTTTCTGGTCATATTCAACAGCTCAACATAAATCACACAGTGATGGGTTAGAAATATATTAAGAAAATAATTTTAAATGCAAGAAGTTCTGCTTTGGTACAAATATTTTCATACACACACACACATTCACTTGGGTCCACCTGTTTCATTTTATATTCAGATTATATTATCGCCGCATTGACAGCAATCCTAGCAGTTCTTAAAAGGAAGATTAGGGATTTCCTCGAGCACATGAGCAGGTTCTACGGACTTTCAGGAATAAGAATTACAACTATAAAAAATAGCTATCCTTCAATTCAACCAGCAAACTTGTATTTTAGAAAATGAAAATAATTCATAGAACATGTAAAAATTTATTAAGTGGCTCTCATCATCTTTCATTTATAAGAATAGTAACTTTCCAAGAAACAAGATTATAAGGAATCTTCTCACAGCTGGCTGCAGCCAACCGCCCTCAGCTTTATGCCTTCCAGTGCACTAACAGGCACGAGAAGGCACAGCATTACAGCCATACTAGAATCTGACATAACCTAACTTCTTGAAGTACTTTTGCATAATTAAGATTTTTAAGGCTTACATAGAAGTTAAAAATAATGCCAATATTTACTTCATGATGCACGGACGTTCATGTTATAACAACAAAAAAAAATTAAATTAGGAAATATATATTTTAAAATACCTATTTAATTATAAATAATTTAACACTTGAAAAATTATTCAAAATGCATACAGACCGAAAAGAACCAGGGTAGGCCAGAAAGGAAACACACATTCTTTTCACCATCAGATTAAATTACTCCGAAAGCATTTACAAGGATATCTAGAAGTTTTCTTTCCAATCATGCGTGCTTTGCATTTGTGTTTTCTGTATCACTAGGCACTACCACTATTTACACATTTCTAAAGACTGCAGAAGAAGAAATGGGCATAAGAAATATTTCAGAACCATTTCATCTGTAGACTTCTCCCTAAATTACGCTTGCTTTCTCATAAACATGAGAAAACACTACCCTGGGATCGCGCTTCTTTGTGCCAAAATGCACTTCTTACCCTGTCCATTTTAAAATGCCCGTTTTCTGAAAAAGATGAATCCAGTTACGCAGCTACACCACAGACCCAGAATTCTGAACTCCAACACTCAAAATTCTGTTTTCATCTGTGGAGTTAAATCTCCCAAAGGCAACTAATCTAGTTTGCCAAGTATCAAGCTAAATTTCATTGGAACAGGAAAAATAATGCAACTTAAAAACAGCTCAATATTTCTGTGTTCCATGTTTAAAAAGCTAACCAATTAATCAGACTTATAAAACAGTGTTTAGATATACTGTTGGCAGAAATCTTGCTTGTCAGCTTTGTCAGAGAAAGTCTCATAGATTGGATCACAGAAAGTGATGTACTGTGGAATCACTGACTAGGAGATTATGCACTATCTCTGCCGAAACGGAACACATGTACTGCAGAACACAGCTTATTACACAGATATGTTTTCCATAGGTTTGGCCTAAAAACAGAAAAGTTATATCTACCCTAAAACCACAAACGAAGCAACTCGGTGATTTTTCCACTCAAAAATTTTGATTCATTTGCATTCATGTTTCTTAATGCGCACTAAAGTATTCAACGTGGTACTTCCCGTAATAGCACCTTTATTTTATCTTTAAAGCAGCACGTTATACAAACTCACACGGCTTGCACACCAAAACCAAGTTCTTCCAGCTGACAGATTTTTCAAACATAAAAGAGTGCAAGTTCAATGACTTTCAATGACTCTCAGGCACAGAAGGACGCTCTCTGTGTACGAGACATTGTTCAGCACCTAAGAACGGAGAGTAACCTGGATTCTAATATCTACTTATTGTCCAAATATGTTTCAAGAGCTGCTGCCTGTTTATAGTAAAGGCCCTGCTTGTATTTCCAATAAAGGGCAGTGATCTGTATGCTACACTCTCTCCTGTAAAGTTTGTTCCTCTGCGTGGCCTATACAATTACAGAACTGTATTTTTAAAAATTAGGATTCATATTTGTACATCAAGAAAATTTCAGACACCCAAGGAAAACCTACCAGAGAAGTACACAAGCTTTGTAAAATATCACTGAACATGCTGAAGTGGTTCGGACTCTCAGGAAAAGCTGCAGAAAATATCTGTGCTGAATTTTTCAAGATGCGCACTAGAGTTACGAGATTCTCTGTTTAAGAAACTTCCAAGTACTTTCTACTTTCTAGGGTCGATCACCCACTACTGGGGGTGTTATTCTGGAGAAGGCGGGGTGAAGCTGGGGAGAAGGGAGGTATCCCGTGGGTGTCTGTAGCCGAGAACCCAAAGTCACAAGTCCCATGGAAATCTTTATCCAAGAGTTACGTTCACACAGCATCCTGCAGCCATACTGGGGGTGTTATTCTGGAGAAGGCGGGGTGAAGCTGGGGAGAAGGGAGGTATCCCGTGGGTGTCTGTAGCCGAGAACCCAAAGTCACAAGTCCCATGGAAATCTTTATCCAAGAGTTACGTTCACACAGCATCCTACAGCCACTATAAAAAGCAGGGTAGCAACTTATCCATGCAATTTCTTTAAAAAAAAAAAAAAAAAAAAAACAAAGGGGGGGGGGCGGGGCGGGGGGG